AAATTAACTAAAGAGCGGGCCAGCCATTTAAGCGGACCTTTAAACATCAGCCCAACCCGCCTATTAGGTTGGGCCCGTAAAACGGCCCGCAGGCCAAGGCCCACTTTGACAAGCCTATATATATAGCTCTCAATTGCCATCATTTGTTCCCTTTTCCCTAGTTTCACTCTCTCCGTCTCTCGTTCTCTAAACCCTAGCTGCCGTCAACAATGCCGCCGAAGTTCGATCCCAACCAGGTAGTCGACGTCTTTGTCCGCGTGACCGGCGGCGAGGTCGGCGCCGCCAGCTCCCTTGTTCCTAAGATCGGCCCCCTCGGCCTTTCCCCAAAGAAAATCGGCAAGGACATTGCCAAGGAGACAGCCAAGGACTGGAAGGGCCTCCGCGTCACCGTCAAGCTCACTGTGCAGAACCGCCAGGCCAAAGTCACCGTCGTACCTTCCGCCGCCGCATTGGTCATCAAGGCGCTCAAGGAGCCCGAGCGCGACCGAGGGCCGTTTTGTAGGCCAAGGCTCAAGAAAATCTATTTGCATAACCATATGGTTTTCACCTTCATTTCACCAATAAGTAAATAACATCAAACGGGCCTACAGCCAACAACCTACTGAAGTATCTTATGAGGAAAATATCTAAAATGAAAAACAGAAATGCTAAATACACTTATTAATTTAGAAATCTAAGTCTCAAATGATGCCTCCACGTGAGTTGCACGATCAGTCTTCTCCTCACTGAGATCAATGGTCTCCATCTTGCCACGCGTCGCCTGTTCAGCCTTATCTTCAAAATCAAACACAACTCGATCGACTGTCTGAAATCCATTTATTTTTTGTCATCCCCAATTCCTTCTTCTTCACCATAGCCAAATTGTTCCTCAATTCCTTCTGAATTCATGACATTTCCTTCCCCTTTTTCAGATCCTTGTCCACAAGGATCAAATCCTTTGATTTTCTTTCGAATGAACTTCTCATCTTCCCAGGAAGTGATACCGTCGCCCCAAGTCACTAAGATCTGTTGCACAAGCTCGCTGCCTTGCCGTATGCTGCGCCTATTTAGAATTTCAGTTGGGCGTGCAATAAATTGGCCATCTTCTTCAGTGGTGGGCAGCTTGTCTACAGATAAGTCCTTGTCTCCCTTTTTCTTTTTTAATAAAGAAACATGAAATACTCGATGTACCCGGGATCCTTCAGGTAATTCTTACTTGTATGCAACCTTTCCTACCCTTTCTATGATTTTGTAGGGTCCAAAGAATCGGGAACTGAGCTTGACATTTTTCCTTAATTGCAATGAACTCTGGCTACAAGGCTGTAGCTTGAGGTAAACCATATTCCCCACCTCATATTCTTTATCAACCTTAGATTTATCAGCATAGGCTTTGATCCTGTTCTGGGCTGAAAGTAAATTATCTCTGAGTCCTTGCATCTTGAGTTGTCTTTGTATGATGAAATCCTTTGCATCAAAATTAGGAGAATCAAGATAGGCTTTAAGTGATAGAGATGTAGGTGTGTAGCCATACAGGGCTTCAAATGGTGTAGACTTAAGGGCTGTGTGGTAATTGGTGTTATACCAATATTCAGCCAAGGTCAACCACTGAAACCACTTCTTTGGGGAATAATGAACCATGCACCTCAGGTAATTTTCCACACACTGATTCACTCTCTCTGTTTGTCCAGCAGTTTGAGGGTGATAAGAGGAAGAAAGGTTCAGTGTTACCTCCACCATTTTGAAAAGCTCCTTCCAAAAAAAACTTGTGAACAATTTGTCTCTGTCTGTCACTATGCAAACTGGTAGTCCATGAAGTTTGTAAACATGATCCATGAACAACTTGGCCACATCTTAAGCAGTGTAGGGATGTGAAAGAGCTAAAAAATGCCCATACTTAGTCAATCTGTCCACAATAAACAAAATTGAATCCTTGTCCCATGACTTAGGTAATCCCTCAATGAAGTCCATTGAGATGTGTGACCAGGCCTCATTAGGTATTGGGAGTGGTTGCAGTAGTCCTGAGAGTGGCTCATTGGTAGGTTTATTAATTCTGCAAGTGTCACAATCCTGCACAAACTTCACAACATCAGGTTTCATCTTAGGCCAATGGAAAACCCTCTTTAGTCTCATATATGTCCCCTGTATACCAGAATGTCCTCTCAAAGAGAAATTATGCATAGCTGAGATCAGATTAGCCCTCAATTTCTTGTCCTGACCAACACAAAGCCTCCCCTTGTACCTGAGGATCCTATTTTGCCAACTGTAATTAGGCTCAGAGCATGGAGCCAGTATTAATTTTTCTAGTAATCCTTTAATGAATGCATCCCCCCATAACTGTCAACAATCTCATTCACCCACTTAGGTACCATAGTGGTTATGGCTGTTGATATGGGATATTATATACCTAAGGAATATACCGGTTCAATAGGCTGTCCGTACAAACCTAAATATTAGAAATGCCACGTCAGTCGAGCAATAGCAGACTGGGAGGAAGTGGTCGAGCATTGGAGCAGAGCTGGTCGAAGATCGACCTACTAAAGGAGAGCTCATCTGATCGACCACCTGGTGAGTGAGGAGCAATCGAGAGCGTGGGGCGGATGCGAGGACGCGCGTGGTCTTCTTCAGGAATTCTCAAGGAATATTTAAGGGAATAATTACCCTCTATTCAGAAGGACACGTGGTGAGTCTTTCTTGTTAAGGACGATTTATCCATTTTTTACTCTTGAGAATTGAGTGAAACACATACTGACTTAAGCATCGGAGGCTCTTCATTGGAAAAACACCCCGGTGTGAGAGTTCTTTGCAGGTACGCAGCCTTCTACCGACGAGGAGGAAGACGAGCCGATTTCAAGCCGGTCGGAGTGTTTTGCGTTACCAGCTTTGCACTCCACTGAATCAGTTTGAACCCTAGAAAGAGCATCAGCTGCTTTGTTTTCTTTCCCTTTTCTGTAGTTAATTTCATAGTCCATCCCCAGTAATTTGATGATTCCTTTCTGCTGCCAAGGGGATGCCACTTTTTGATCCAACAAATATTTAAGGGACTGCTGATCAGTCCTAATGACAAATTTATGCCCCTGTAGGTACTGTTTCCATTTCTGTACTGCAAGTAGAACAGCTAGAAACTCCTTTTCATATATGGATAGGGCTTGATCCTTAAGGCACAATGCCTTACTGAGGTAGGCAATGGGTCTACCTTCTTGCATGAGCACTGCACCTATCCCACAACCACTTGCATCAGTCTCTAATATGAAAGGCAAGGAGAAATTAGGTAGGGCCAGAACAGGTGCTATGGTCATGGCTTCCTTCAATCTTATGAAAGCCTTGTCAGCTTCCTCACTCCACTTGAAATTGTTCTTCCTCAGCAATGTGGTAAGAGGTTTGTTGAATTCCCCATAACCTCTTATAAACCTCCTGTAATTTCCTATTAAACCCAAGAAACCCCTAAGTTGTTTCACTGTAGTTGGGGTTGGCCAATGTATCATGCTTTCCACCTTATTAGGATCTATGGCTACCCCTTCTGCAGAAATTATGTGGCCCAAGTATTCAACCTTAGAGTCTCCAAAACTGCACTTGCTCTGTTTAGCATACAAAGCATTTTCCCTTAACACTTGCAAGACTGCCCTCAGATGTAGCAAATGATCTTCCTCAGTCTTACTATAAATTAGAATGTCATCAAAGAAAACAAATGTGAACTTCCTCAGGCTGTCTTTAAAAACTTGATTCATGAGAGATTGAAATGTGGCAGGGGCATTGAAAGCCCAAATGGCATAACAAGGAACTCATAGTGCCTACTATGAGTCCTAAAGGCTGTTAAATATCTATGCTCTTCCTTTATAAAAATTTGAAAATACCCTGACCTCAAATCAATTTTTGAAAAGTATCTAGCCCCAAATAATTCATCCATTAACTCCTCAATGACTGGAATAGGGTAGTCATGTTTAATGGTTAGGGTGTTCAAATACCTGTAATCCACACACAACCTCCAAGTTTGATCCTTCTTTTTCACCAACAATACTGGAGAAGCAAAGAGAGATTTGCTATGTTGTATGACTCCTGATTTAAGCATTTCCTCCACCATTTCTGTAATAACATCCTTTTGGCCATGAGACACCCTATAGGGATATTGTTGCTTGGGTTGGCTACTTGTTTTGAGGATTATTTGATGCTCAATACCTCTCTCAGGTGGAAGCCCCTGTGGTTCCATAAAAACATCCCTGTACTCCTGTAAGAGCATGTTAAAAGACTCATTCAGTGCAGTACCTAATGGATTAATTGTGAGTAGATACATTTCAGCTATCTGACCCTCCTCTTCACAACTCAGCATACTGTACAAGGAGAGTTCTGAGATTAAGTGACATTCTGCCCCTTCAGTTAAAGCTTGCAGTTTCAGTCTTTGTCTCCCTATGCTAATAGTCACTGTCATGGTATCATAATCAAGTTCTATAGGGGTACATGATCTTAGCCAATCCCCTCATAGGATTATGTCACTCCCTTCACTTTTGAGTACCCTTAGAGTATAAGACATTTCCCATCCTTGCATAGACCAGGTTAAATCCTTAACATGCTGACTGCTCACCAGTTTCTGCCCATTTGCCACCTTGACACCCAAAGGCCTTGTAGGTAACATTTCACACCCAAGAGAGTGTGCTGTGGATTCCTTGATGAAACTTATTGTGCTACCTGTGTCCACCAGGATGTGTAGCTTTTTGTTTCCCACATAGCCATGAAATCTCAGTGTTGTGAGACTCCCTTCACCTGTCAATGCATTCAAGGAGATTTGTACTTCTTCTATGGCTGCTACCTGGTCTGCTCCTAGTTCATTTTTCACCATCTTTGCTTGCAAGAAAGATAATTCCTCCTCCTCTGTCATAATCATGTAGTTTATCCTGTTCTTGCATCTGTGGCCTGGTACAAACCTCTCATCACAATTGTAACAGAGCCCCTTTTCCCTTCTAGCTGCCATTTCTGCTGAGGTAAGCAATTTAGTGTTTGGCTTCTGGGTTGTGACAATTGGTTTCTTAGTGGAGTAACTCTGATTTCGTTGAATCCTATGTGAGTTTGTATGTTGTGGCAGGGTGTATGTTCTTTGGTGCTATTTGAGTTTCTTTGTAATAGCCTCTAGGGTTAAGAGTTGTTTGTGCCCTAGCTCAATAGTTTGCTGAAGAGTACTAGGGTTAAACATATGTATGAAAGCTTGCAATTCCTCATTTAAGCCACTAATGAAGCTGGCTATGAAGTATTCTTCAGAGAACACCTTGGCTCATGAGAAGCATGCAGGACCTCAATTCTTCAAATTTCTCAACATACTCCCCATAAGACCCTGAGTGCCTTAGTTTGTTAAATTCTGCAATGATCCTGACCTCTTTGAGTTCTTCAAACCTTGCTGAAATGATCTCCACAAACTGGGACCATTCCCAGTCCACTTGTTTAGTGCTTACATTCTGGAACCACAAAGCAACCTTTCCTTCTAAGTGCATAGAGGCCAATGTGACCTTCTGAGTTTCTGAAACATTAGGCAACAGCTTAAAGTAACTATTACATTTAAGAATCCAAGCCCTGGGATTTGACCCATCAAATTTAGGAAAGTCAATTTTAGGAAGAGGGCTGTTGAATTGGTAGTTTTGTTGACTTGTTGATTGTTCCCTGGTAAAGCTGCCTTTGATGAATCTGGTGTGGTTGCTCTGTGTAGTTTCATGGTTGAAGAATTTGTGAGGATCTCCTAGAATGGAGTCTTCCTCATCATTGACTTTTTCTTTGTTTTTGTTTAACAGCTGCAACTGGATGGCTGCCATGGTGTTAGCAAGGTTTTCAAGCTTGTTGTTGACATCCATTTTTTGTTCTTTCAACTCCAGGTTTATCCCTTCAACTACCCCTTTCATTTCAGCACTAATTCCTTCCATTTTTTCATGTAGCTTGATCTCTGATGCCTCTCTTTTTACAACCTCTGTTTGCTCAAATTGATCGATCCTTTTTTGTGCCTCTTGCAGCTCTTTTAGCCTAGTTCTATTAGTCATGGCCAAGGAAAGTTGGCTCTGGATACCAAATGTAGTAATCCAATTGTTTTTGTAATGTTTTGGTAATTTAGTATTTGAATTTCAGAATGTAAATTGAAGGAATTGTATTAGAATTGTGAAGAAGACGAGAATGGGGAAGAAGGATTGAGAGAGAGAAAGAGAAGTGAGAGAGAAGAGAATCTATTTGCATAACCATATGGTTTTCACCTTCATTTCACCATTAAGTAAATAACATCAAACGGGCCCACAGCCAACAACCTACTAGAGTATCTTATAAGGAAAATATCTAAAATGAACAACAGAAATGCCAAATGCACTTACTAATTTAGAAATCTAAGTCTCAAATGATGCCTCCACGTGAGCCGCACGATCAGTCTTCTCCTCACTGAGATCAATGGTCTCCGTCTTGCCACGCGTCGCCTGCTCAGCCTTATCTTCAAAATCAAACACAACTCAATCGACTGTCTGAAATCCATTCATTTTGTCATCCCCAATTCTTTCTTCTTCACCATAGCCAAATTGTTCCTCAATTCTTTCTGAATTCATGACATCTTAAAATGGTATCCAGTCATAAATATTGCAGTTTAAGGTTCTGTATTTCCAAATATTTTTATGTTTATACACGCACGAACTTATTGTCTATGTTGTGACAATTGAAAGATGCGATTTAATATAAAGCTACACTGGGTATCTGATTTGTACTGAACTCTTCGGATAGTCCAATTATCCCATATGCTGATTTGGATTCTATAGCATGTAGTTGAATCTATCAATGTTTGCTCCTTTTACTCTGCTATCTTTTTCAAAAACTAAGCTCGTTGGGACATGGTACCTTTAAAATTTGCTGGAAAAAAAATGGAAAAAAGGTAAAAATGCAGTAAATGTAAATCAAATTAACATTAGATATGAACCCAACAAAATCTTTAATTTTGATAAATGTCTATTGTAGTTCATGAAAAGAAAAGAGAAAAAAAAACCTAATCAATCATTATTGATTGAAGTTGGATATCTGTTACCTGGCCAGAAATTTGGTAAATGTTGGGGGCCAAGGTTGGCCGGAGATGTATGTATTAATTCCTTTACTTAGTATTATGGTATTTTTTTTATTAAGTTAATTATTGATTAAGAAAATTTAATATTTAGTTAGATTTTTTGTTAATTGAAATTAGAAGCTGGTAACGGAAACCTTACAGTTTCGATTAAAATTGATAAACAGACAAAATGTCGGATATTAAAATTGATCAAGTGAAATTTTCTTGTAACAAAAAAAAAAATAAAATAAAATAAAAATAAAAAATAAAAAAAATCAGGTAAATTTCGGATATGAAGAAGTAAGATTTTTTTTCTGTTAATACGACATTCCAATTCTTTTAACTGATCTATATTTATATTCCTATTTTTGTGTGTGAAAGTTCTTTTATAGTATTAACTAGAAATGCTCGAAAAATCTTTTCAAATTCCGAAACATGTTGAATATGAAGGATAATTAATTATGATTGAAAATGAAAGCTACCAAGCTTAACAAGATTTTCCACGAAACTAATCAAACAAACACGTTTAACTAACACCTTATTAATTACCCCAAAAGAATATGAGGTTCTCGATCGTGCCAAATGTATGAACATTAAAAGAAAAATTTTACCCCGCTAACCAAAAATCCCATGCCTTAATTAAAACACGACAAAATTCCACTTTCTTATACATGTTCATCATATCACACGTGTAAATTCTTTGCACCGTCCTTAATTATATCTCACTCGTCCNAAAAGAAAAAAAAAAACTTAGATATTTTTTAGAACACTTGTGCCTTATTTAATCCCTTTCCATTTTGCATTCTCTTCTCAACTCATACAAAGCAAAACGCATATATTTCCATTTTCCATAAGCATCAGCTTATAGAAAAATGGCGAAAAAGATCGTACGAGCCAAGCACTGCATTTTCTTGGAGGTGGCGCCCTCATCCGAGCTGGTTTTCCCGGTAAAAACTTCACACTCTCCTAAACTCGAGACAATCGAGGAAGACTTGTTTGAAGAAGGAGGTGAAGATTTTCTTACACTAGAGATGAGTTGGGGCTGGTTTTATCAAGTTCTCAATAATTTTCGGGCCGGGTTTTTTGAGAAAGTAGCGATTAGAGATGTTAAACGGCCATTGGCTTGACGGGCCGGCCCGTTTAGTTCGAAAAAAAATCAGAGTTAGGGCCCTTTATTGGTAGCTCGTTTAAATTCGACTTTTTAGGCCCAGACCTTTGCAACTTGCCCGGGTTTTATGTGTGGCGTAGTTCTAGGTTTTTTAATGTGGCTAGATATTGAAAGTGTGTTAGTTATTGTTATAATTGAAATAATATTAATGTTGCTAGGTTAAAGTGATTCAAGGAATTAGAAGTGTTATTTGTTGTTCAAAATTATGATAATTATGGAATTTAATTCCATCATTGAACTTACAAACTATTATCTTACTCTTACAAGTCGTGCACGTAGCTGAAGATTTCAATCTCCATTATTAGAATTGAGAGCTAGTAGCTAATCTCTCTGAATATAAATTTAGGTAAAGTTGGATCCATTTCATGGACACGTTAATAAGAAAATAATTTATTTCTATACGGAATTACCTCACCTATTCAACACAACATAAGTATAAGCCATGTCTGTTATTCACTTATCAAAATTTCGTAATTTTTTAAACACAAAACTACCATGGTATGATAATTTTCATCACATTTGTTGGTGGATATTCTAAAACGGGCAAGATAAATGAGACTTTGCTTCTTTCTTAATATATAGGAAACACAATTTATTGGTTTGAAAATATAATTTTAGTCCAAATTCGTCTGTTTCAGTTTGATTTGGTTGACCACTTATTGGGCTTGTCAATTTGGTTCAATATAGAGTTTTTGAAAGTTTAAATTGGAACTTTTGATGATTACGAGCACAAATTTTTACTAAATGTGAGTGGTTTTGTAAATCTGACAAGATGCTACGAAGCAAAGATTGCAATTTGACGGTTTCATAGGGATTCGATGGCAATTTGTTGTTGATTGAAGAATCGTATTACAAAAAGACCGTAGATCTACAGATGAGATTGAAAATTTCGATTAATATATAATTTGATAGGTTCCTCGCCATAAATTCCCACAAGATAGTTTAACGAAAATTGTTTAAATTGGTTAATCAAATTGAAATACCAAAAATTATTGAACAAAATTGTTTAAAAATTGAACTTATACATTAGAAGAAATTATTTAACGAAACTACAACTAGTTAAAAGTTATTATGAAAAATGATTTCTACAACTAAGCAAAAGTTATTATGATTTTTTTCCCCTTCCAAAGTGCTTCATTCATAATCTCACATGTTGATATATATATATAGAGAGATTATAGAAAATATTAGAATCGAAATTGAGATAATAATCACCTTTATAAGTGCAGTAGGATTGATGTTAGACAAGTAGGCTGTATTTGGTACTTGGTAGGCATATATATAAGCTAACATATAACTTATTTGATTAGTTTATAAGATTTTTGTATTCAAATAAGTTTGTTTTGGTACGATGGACTTTTTAAAAAGTTTCAAATAAGTCTATTGAAACTTTTTATTTCAGCTAGTTTATCAGCTAATTGATAAGACACTTTTATCATATAAACTAGATTTTCAGCCATAAGTCATAAGCTATCAGATATAAACTCGAAATTCACTTAAAAACTATAAGCTAACTTCTCAACTAAATTTTCCAAATATAGTAGTAACGTTAGACAATTATATTTTCATATTTTGTTATTAAATATACATACCTTCGTTCATAAGTAACATATCTTTAAACATAAAATAAGTTTAAGTATTCAATTTCACAATAAAAGTACGCATTTTCTGTTAAAAAAATATAAATTGATGTACGGATCAGAAAACCCTTAGGATTGGGAAGGTAGTGATTTTGTGGAATAGCATGCGCTTGCAACTTTGTAATAATGTGAAGAAATGTGGAATTGCTTTGAAAATGGTGCCTCCAGTTTTTGCTCTTATTATTGCACTCAATTGTATGCATTCATTCAGTGTTACCCTTTGCTGCTCCTCTAAGCTACGCAAAATAATCACTTTTCTTTTCCCTCATAATAATCAAATAAAGAAAAAGAAAAAAAAAATAATGACGGTCAGTCATATATAATAAAATTATAAGGCAGCAAAAATATGGTTTTTATCGAGTAATTAAGAGCAAATAATCAAAAGGAAAATCAAAATAAATAGCTCATTCTCAGATTTAATTGGTCGTCAAATTGAACTACTTAGTCGTGTGATTTACGAATGCTAGTGCAAAAGCCAAAAAGTAGTGTAATAGATTAACAATAATAATAATAATCAGTATATAATTAGAAGTTTCTTGTATTAGCGGCGCGGTGAAGTGAAGGCATATGATTATCAGTGCCAAAAATGCCTCACAGTTTCATCATTTTACTTGCATGTCTTTTACCCTCTTTTGCTTCTAACTTTAGTTAGTTTTGGGAGAAGGGAAAAAAAAAAGGAAAAAATTCATCCTGTTAAGATAGGCTTTAGTTATTTTGTTGAGATATTTTTGGTTTGATATGATCTTGATTTGGTAGTAGTTATTTTGATAATCCGATATTTGTTTTGATCTTGATTTGATTATAGCACAAAATAATCTTTTTTTCTTCCGATAAGGTATGACTTACTAACATTTTCTTTTTTATGATTTTCATTGTAAAATAAAAAAAAAGAAAGAAAGAAAGAAAACAAGCACAAAACCACATTAGCACACCAACATATCAAGTTCACCTACATTTCTTTCTATTTCAGCCATATATCATCACATGACCTTCTTTCTCCATTTTCTTCTACTACATTGTGTAGTGTAGTACAACAAATGGAAACTAATAAAGCAAAAAGATATCTCAAATTAAAAAATAAATACATCCCATCTATAACACCAAGTAAACTAGGAAATGAAATCATTNATTATCCTCCCTTTCACAGCCTATAAAAGCACAATCCGAAACCAAACACACACACACACATACATTCAAGCGCAAAAACTAAGCAAAACCTCTAAAGAGAAGAAGATGTCCCAACTTCTCCTCTTCCTAACCATTCTTTCTTATCTCGGCCTTTCACGAGCCGAAACTCGTCCACATGGCATTGAATTCGAGAGCCCGATAGCCTTCTCACCTGATGCATACGCATTCTTCCACCCGGCCGCCCTTTCCCCGGGCCCAGCCGCAGCCCAATCCAAGAGGCTGCCCCTGGCCGCCACAGTCCAGTCCACCCCGGCCCAAGAGAGCACGGCCCAAAGCAGCAGGCATGGGCTGGGCCCGGCTGGGGTTGTTGGGCTTTCTCTGAGCCTGACTTTCGTGTGTTTGGTGGGCATGGGAGTCTACTATGTGCTGACCAGACGCCGGGCCCACTTGCACCAAGCCATCAATGATCCCAAGCAACCGGCCAATGTTTGATTTGATCCCAAACATTTGATAATCGACCGGCTGATTTGTTTCTGCCTAAGGTTTTCCATCTTTTTTTCTTTTCTTTTCTTTGTAATAGTAATTGGCGATCATTACAAACGCTAATCACAGCTAGAAAGGTGTAGTTTTGGTGAAGAGAATGTTCTTGTTTCTGTTTGGAATAGTTAGTATTGATTATTTGTGTACAAATGCAGCTAGCGCTTGCACTTTATATTTTTATCGGTTGATCTGCCAGTTGAATTCAGAGGTATGGCTATCTCCATAGTAAATAAGCAGAAAGATAGAAAAAAAAAGTTGCAAGAAAACAGTGTGTACTATAACTAGGCCTATAAAGGAGCCGAGTCAAGCTCGACCTTGAGCACTTAACAAGGCAAGCCGAGCTCGGCTCGTTAAGACCTGGAGCTCAGAACTTTAACGAGTCGAACTATAAAAAATTATGTAAAAATTCTCTTTTCGAGCTGAGCTCGAGCTCGAGCCGAACCGAGTCAGACTCGTTTAATTTAACAACACTAACTATTAACTATGGCAGGAAAACCCAAACATATTCAAATCAGAGCACTCCTTTATAAAAAAAATGTCAGAGCGAACAAAATGCTGAAGAATGCAAGCAAACAACCTACAAAATGCAACAAAATGCCATGTCTGAGAATACGGGTTTTGCATCAACAAGTACACAAATTATACATAAAAGTTGTACATATGCTAGCTAGTAGCTATATGATCTACCGAGCACACAGAGAGTTGCTTCCATTTTCTTGCACCATGTGAAGGAAAATTTAGGAATATCAAGAAAGTATGAAATAGCTCGAGACAGGAGAATGCTGAATGCCACGTCAGGGACCAGACACGGTCAAACAATAGAATGATGGATCTTCATTGACTTGTCAAATTATTCGGAATGTGAATGTCCCTACCATCCGCGTGAGCTTAGAGACTCAATGAGAGGTCCTAATGTCTTGTCCACAGATTTATTCCAAATGTGTGCAAACTCTTGACGGGCCTTTCTTCCAAAAATAGGCTCCCTCGGCTGGTAAACGATAGAAAAGAATAAGTTAAAATGAGAAGATTTGTCAAATATAAGCATTTAAGTAAAATTCTTCAAACCGTCAAGTATAAATAGGGAAAAACGAAAAGGAAAAACAGAGTCTCATACATACTTGGCTAATTGTCGCAAAATAAAAGAAAGAGTTCAGCAATTAATATAATATGCATACACAATGCGAAAAGACTGATAGTAATATGATAAATTTTGAAAATTACCTTCCCAACAGAATTAATATCTAATGGAAAATACCCCTTCGGTTAAGAAAGGCATTATGTAACAGAGGAAAGATTAAAGTTCCATTAAGCATATAAACATGACTCTTCAAACTATTAATACAATGAGTTACTTTATCTGTCCATATGCCCACTGAATATGGTTGATTTAGGAAATAACTAGGCGACATTTGTTGTCAATTGAAATTTCAAAGACACACTACTCTCACTCTCACTCCTCCAATCAGGCACAAAACCTCTCCCACATCAACACTATGTCAAAAAAAATGTTACATCAAGAGTTACCATTATATTTTCATTTCACGAGATACATTACTCACCATTCTCAAGTCCTCAATAACTCAACACATTCAATCATGAATCAACATTCAACTAAATGAGCAACACCTCAACTGCCACTTTTACACATTCAACACAATTCTGATTTCTCAACTTTCATAACTCTATTCAAATAAACTTATTGACCGATTCAAAAGAAGCAATCCTTCTAAGGTTATCCAATACGCCATACCCAGGGGTTCATTTTACTTTCCGTAGAGGAAGATGTTTTATAATGAAGCTGTCACAATATGTTGAAAATCATAGTTTGCAGAATGATTACCAAAAGAAAAATACCAAAATTATAACAATAAAAGCTAGTAACAGCTTAAGTGTTTCTGTTTCGGGTTTTAATAAAGTTCCACCTTTTTATACAGATACAACTACACATCTTTGCATAACTATGAAATATAAATGTAGTTGTTCAGCCCGCCAAACAATAGTCCTACTATTTAAACATCCAAAACTTAGAACTCTAATCTAATCATGAAACCCATAGAAGAAAAATAGCTTTTAGTGAATAAATAGTACCTACAACAACTGCAAAATTTGTCTACTACACCCTTCATTCTGCAAAACCATTTTTATCCACTCAATCCAACAAAACTATTAATAACAAATGACTAAAAAAATAAATCACAAACCCAAATTTTCCACCAAGTTCTTAATACATTAACCCCAATTAGCCAATAAATTAGTAGGAAATACATCAATCGTCTCAAACACCTGTAGCTAAGCGATAAGAACACGACTCAAAATCGTTAACAATAGGGAAATTACCTGTGATTCAGATTTCGAAATGGATTGGTAGATGCTCTTGCGCTGCTGAAGGATCACAACTCCAGTAGCAATGCTTCCCAGAGCCGCGCCTAGCAGACGCTCCTATTGATACACACACAATACATACATACAAACAAATTACAGAATAACATAAATCAACAAAAAAATTGGGGGATTATGTTCCTAAATTAGGGTTAGAGGAATAGAGAGAGAAAGTACCTGAGCTAGAACGCTGATCATGATTGTCAAATGGATTGTTCCAATGGTGCTGAGAGAGAATTTGCGACGGGTTTTTGAAGCGGCTTGGAGATGAGAGGAAAAGTTTTTACTTTTTCGTAGGATGAAAATTTACAATGGGCTGGGCTTAGTAGGTCAATTTAAATACCGATGCAAAATTTCTGTTGGGCTTGAGCCCTAACTATATAAGCAAGTGCAGTATATGGCCCACCTCAATCGGTGGACTTTAAAAAAATAAAATAGAGAAAATTATTTGTCTACAAATTTCTTCATATTTGTAAATTTACAAGATTTATTTTTTAATTATAAATATACTAAACTTACATGACTTATTATAGAAGATATTAGTTTGGTAGAGTTGTTAAACTGAACAACTCTACTCATGAGTTTGGTTTGGCTCGACTTGGTTGAGCTCGAACTCGTTATTCAAAAATAAAAATATTTATGTAATTTTCTATAACTCGACTCAATTTGACTCGTTTATTCGTGTAGTGCTTGATCAACTGATGAAGCGACTTGTAAAGTTTTAATGAATATCGTGTGACTAATAAGCAATGGCCGAGTGGTCTAGAGGAATTGTGCATTTATCAAATTAATAGGGGTAAACGTGTTACAACCTCAAAGAAATTGTAATTTTGTAAGACATAATAAAATAAAATAAAAAATAATAGAAACATACACCTAGAGAATGTCTATCACAAGTGAGTTTCACCTAATCATAATATATTTTTTTTTTCTTATATCATCAAATTAGAGGGCATATATTGCAATGTGGCCAGACGCTAGTGTGTCTACTATAAGTGAGTTTCACCTAATTAATGTTAGCCAATTAATAGGAAATAAAAATTGCTTCACTACCAAGTACCAAGACCGAACCTAATTCAGACCACCCGTCATTTTTCATCATCCATTTTGCTAATTTCTTAATAATTTCTTATTCTTCTAGTTATTATACTACCATTAATTTTACTTCTATATCACACATAGAATTATATTTTATCACTTAAACATTAACAAACATTTCTCATTTTTCGAAAATGAATTTAAACTGTGGGAGAAAATATCTCTAAAACGATGCAAAAGAACTCAAATATAATTTTATTATACTACTTGTTCATCACATAAAGACATTTTATCTTGAGGTGGAGAGAATTAGAAATGAATGTATGATCTTANAAGTCACAAGTTGCCATCGGTATGTTGCATTAAAAAATAAAAAATGATTTCACTATAAATAAAAAATAATAATAATAAAATAAGTGTCTTAATTTTGATATTGTATTGAATGATAATGTCGTTTTTGTTGTCCGTCCACCATTTTTCAATATATATATAATTTTAAGTTGAAATATCATATTTTAGAAAACAACATAAATAAAATCATGAGATTTATAATACTATATATGTGAGTTTTAGCCATCAAAGCCACATACTTTTGACGGGTAAATCTTTCTATGAGTGTGTGTAATTTGACTGCGCTCCCGTGGGCAATAGGTACGGGACTATCCATTTAATTTCCTTGGAATTAAATCAAAAAAACAAACTTCACTCGTATTGGGCTTCAATTTGCAAATCTGTCACAAGTCAAACCTAGTCATGGCCAACTCGGTGAATTAACCAGTGGTCAAAAGTTTTGGAACCAACTGAAATCGTTGACCATAATTCGTGCACCGACTCAATGTTTGGTCTGGGTCGGTTTCCATTCATTTTTTTTTTATAAATGAATTATTAATTCCAATTTCGAAATGTAACCGAATCGACGGTTCAATGACGAAATTCAAATTTTAAATTTATTTTTTTTCTTTTTCAATTTTCCTAGCTCGGACACGAAGGAGCCCTGAACCGACAGACCAGTTTTATATTGGGACCGACGGTTCATTGAACCAACCTAATACTGATCCCGAGCCAATGCCGGTTCGATAAAAATTTAAGCTATGAATCAACAGTTTCGAACTGAAATTGGTTCAGATCGGCTCTTGGCCATGTGTAGTCATACCTCATCGCCCACGTTACCCTCTCCACATTTTTCGCACTCCCTTTCTCTCTCTAACCACTTTTTATAATTTTTTTTTTCAAACGGCACTTTATTTGAACTGCACTTATTCAAATTCCCAAAAGTTTCGCGTCCCTTCAGTTTTCAGTCACCCTTGTTCATGTTTTTATAACCCGCATTCCAACTTTTCCCCCTCATTTTTGCTATAATACGCCCCTTGCAAATCCCTGATTTCAACTCAGAAAAAGCTCCCCCCACATCTCATCAATGGTGTCAATCTCCCCAACTCTCTCTCTCACCTTCTTCCTCCTCGCAGTCCTCTCTCTCGCCCGACCCTCCCTGTCCGCTGATTCCCCTGCAAATTCTCCTTCTCTTCCTCCGCAGCCGCCCGCCGACGAATCCGACGATTCCTCTCCGCCGCCGTCTCCCTCGCCGGCTTCCGCCCTCCGCCCGCCCGCGCCTTCCCCTTCCCCTTCCCTCTCCATCTCCTCCCCTCCGGCTCCTCCGCCGTCGGATCCCGCCCCGCCCTCTCCCTCACCGTCCCCGTCCCCCTCGCCGCGCGCCGGATCTGCCGCCGACAACGATGAGGAGCCTCCGTCCCCCGCGCCGGCGGCTGCGGGAGGCGTCAGCCGGGAGAAACAGCCGAACGCCGCCGATCTGGACGCGGCGGAGGAATCGTCCGCCTCTGGCGGAGGGATGGACAGCGGGCAGAAGGCCGGCGTGGCGATTGGGGTCATAACCGGCGCGTTCGTCGTCTGCGCGGGCGCTGTGGTGTACAAGAAGCGGCGGCAGAATATCCGGCGGTCGCAGTATGGTTGCGCATCCAGTAGAGAGATCTTGTAGGCCATCCATGGATCTAATTTTTCACGAACCTTTTTCTCTTCCTCCATATTTAATATGCTCCGAGACTGTCTTTTAGAGAATTTGTTTTGATTCTTTTGCCGCTTGTGATGATGAATAAGGAGTTTTTGCTTCACTGTTTTAGTTTGTTAAGAATTTACATCTGATTCTTCATTTCCATGCTTGCTTGTTGATAATTATTGAGTCATGAAAATTTAGTATGCTTATGATTTTATATTTTGTTTTATTTAGTATGTTGACTTTTTGGGATAGTAACTTTTACTCCTCCTATTTTTAATAAATGTCATTTTGAGAAATTACACAATAATTAAGAATATTTTTTTTTTTTTGTCAATAATAACCCTCATTAATGAGGATAATGAGGATAGAGATTGATGTTTTGAGAAAAAAATAGAGGGTGAATATGAAAAGACGTAGTGTATTTATTAGTTAGATGAGGGTAATAATAGAAAAATATGTATAAAATAACCAAAACGACATTTATTTAATAAATGATCAATTAAGCTACGATGACAAATAATAAAAATAAGAGGGAGTATATTTTAATATTTTGCTTGCCTTATTTTATATTAATATAATGAACCTAATTTAAGTTTTAGATTAAAAAATAAAAAAAATTACATAAATAATCTATATTTTGAAGACTTAACTAGTATTCGACCTGTGCATTTGCACAGATATAAATAAATTATTGTGAGTCTGTATGCATATAATGATTAATTATTTTTCTTTCACTTTTTTGCAGACCAAATTTACAATTAAAAGAGTTGGAATATTTTTTTTTTAAGTTGTGTTTATCTGATTGGATGTAATGTATATTTTGGTACGTCTTTTATTTGTGAATTATTTATTATTTATTTAGAAATTTCAAATATATTTTTTATGTTAAAAAAAAAATGTAACAATAATAACATCTAATCACATTATACGGTCAACACATTATATGGTCAACTGTCATTAATCAAAAGTTTAAAATAATTTTTCTAATTTTGAACTGATGAGTATTAATTATTTAATGATTAAATGAAAGATTAAATACATCAAAATGTAACGGTTTTTGGAGGGAAAATTGTTAAATTGTCACATAGGTAAAATTAAATAGTTTTATTAAATGTTATTAGCTAGTAATTATATATATATAGATGCCAATGTTAAATATAATCAGGCACTTGATCTCCTGACCCTGTTACTTGATATTTATTAGAAATTGATCCAGTTACATACCGGTATAAATTCACAAAAACAATCCANAATCAATCAAGCATCAAACAAATGAATAAGGCAGCATAAGAGGAGAGGCATAACTATGAGGCAATTGGCCAGAGGCAAAAGCCTATGCTTGCAATCAACACATATTTGGGATTAAAAGATAACTAAAAGTACACAATAGTTGGAAATATAAATAATTTTTTGTATTTTATATAAATTGTTTCGAATTAAGGAGAAAATTTGTCCCGAACAAAGAAAAAAATCTATCACGGGTCTGTTCTCACATGCCAATTATTTCCAAAGATAGCACACATAAATGACCTGTGAATTTTGCTAAAAGTATACATTGTTGGGTGTGATGAGGTCAATTACTCTTTCCCCATATTATTTCTAATTGATTTAAGCAATTTTTCTTCGATATTTGGGATTTAGCATAATTACTTGGGACTTCTGGTAAAACATCAATTGCAGTGAAAGCAACAACTTGAAGTGACTTTACAAGCTGTAGAAGTAATATGGTCCTTTTGAGCTTGACTCACCTGTTCAAAATTTCAAATTCATCAACATGGTAAAAATCAGTTCAAACTTACTTTTAACTATTCAAACACAACTAAACCATCATCATTCACACACATGAAAGAACACATGAACTTGCAGGTTAACTCTGCTTTTACATCAAATCAAACGGGAACAGACACACGTTTGCACACGAGCGTGTGGTTAACAAACTCACACACGCATGTGTCGTTTATCCCGACTCGGTTGACATTACATAGACTTTTCCAACCTCCCGTGCACCATAACCGACCGTCATTCCACCGTTTGACCTTAGTCTCCCATTTTCTCCCTCGTTCGTCCACAAGGAACATTTTCTTCGGGATTTTGAGACCATAGTCCACTATTACATCCTTCGGGATGTACTGAAGTTTTTTATATATAAGATATTATATTAAGCATGTAAGATTATTGCAATGTGTAGTATGCATACATAAGTGTATATATATATATATAATATAAATATATATATTACTAGAAATGCTATGGAGCCAACCACCAATGTTATGGTGCCACGTAGGCCATGTGGAATTAATTATTTTTTCACATGGCCTACGTGGCATTATAACATTGGTAGTTGGCTCCATAGCATTTCTAATTGTATATACTAGTACAAATATATACATAAAAAAAGTTAATAAAAAGTAAATATATTAATTTTACTTTAAAATTTAGAAAACATATCTAAAAATTACATTATTTGCTTTATTTATGATGACATTTGTGTGATATACTCAATTTTGTCACAATAATAATTTCTAATCAATATTTGATTTAGCATTCTAGAAAGTCCAACCCTAAAAATCTGTGTCCCTAAAATTCCCAATTACGCCACTCTCGTCTCGTTAATTCCTCAGTTGCCAGCGTGCCCTTCTCATCAGCTGACCGAACTTTAGCCGACGGTCAGCCCTAGTCCGTTCAGGCCGGGGGGTGTAGACGACTATCCGTCACCGAGTTTCTCCTNTTTTTTTTTTTTTTTTTTTAAAAGAGAGTAGTTTAGTAAGACACAACATGTGTTGACTCAGATCTGAGATGTATTGTGTAGTTAATTTAAGGCAAAGTTGTAACAAAATTGTACCAAATATTCAGAGCTGCACACAACTTTGAAGAAGGCTTGTCCAGATTCCATCTTGCTTTTGCTTGAATGCTTGAATTTGTACCTGCTATGGCCTGAGAGTTTTTACTATACTATTTGTACAAATTCAGTTTTTTTTTTTTTTTTNCATTTGTAGAATCCAACACATTGAGGCTAAATCCAGCCCAATCACTGGTCGAATCCATCACATTTTCTTTTCTTTTATTTTCAGCCAGGAGTTCATCCTCATTTTCTGTGTTTGAATAATTATATGTTTTAGATATATAACAACGATAGAAACAATATGCTTAGTTGGAGATTTTTCTCTTCCTATGAATAATTAGACCATAGAATCATTTATCAGTATATAAGAAGTTCCTAGAAAAAAACAAATTTCAATAGAAGTTCAATTTTCCCACAATTTCAATTGAAGTTCTAGTCAAGCTAATTCATAATCTCCAATGAAAAACTAATTACCTCTGGAGTCGACGAGCGATTTATGGTGGTTCGGGGCTGTGGGGTGGCGAGCGGCGTCTGAGGCGAGGCTGTGGGGTAGTATGTACTGGTTTCAAGTGATTGTAATATTTTGTATTTTTATATAATTAAAATTATGGAAATGAGCTAAAGGAAGAAGATGAACATGGATGTAGAGAGAGAGAGAATAAGGTGAGAGGAGAGAGAAAGAAGAAATGAGAGAGAATTTGGCTGTAACTTCTTACTTTGTCATTTTCCCGAACAACCCTATTTAATCAACGACTAGTGCAGTGCAGAGCCCGTGTGCAATGCTCTGCTTAAGGCTGTTTATCCATATTTATAATTATATACATGAATAAAGAAAAATATATGGGATATATATAGTCGCACGGGATATATTTATTTAGGGAACATTGTATTATAAGATGCAATATTAAATAAAAATTTTATAATACGTAAGAAAATTGTACAATAAGATAGTAAATTTTATAATACGTAAGAAAATTGTACAATAAGATAGTATTTGACAAAGAAACAATTATATATTATTAAATACTTCCTTGTACACAACATTATGAGTTTGATTATTGGACAACTCGTCATTCTCACAAACTAAACATGTACAAAAAATCAATCATAAAAAAATTAATTTATTTAAAAATCATAAATAATGTAAATATCTAAATATATACACGATCTCTAGAAGAATTAAAGCAATTTCTAAATTTTAAAAATAAAATAAAAAATATACGTTTTCATATTTCAAAATAATAAAAAAAAAAGTAAAAATAATTTGGCTTACAGTTTTATCATGCAGAACCAACTCGAGATAGGATTTGTACGTGCTGCCCTAGTCTTGTAAATACATTCTTACAATTAAAATTTTAAGCATAGGTCTATTAGACCTATTAACTTGTTTGATTAAGCAAAATCTTTGATTTATCGTTTTGAATGAAAGACTGATTGGGGATATTTTTTTCGCAGGAGGTTGAAAGTGAGGAAGACGATGACTCAATATTTTGAGATTTATAATTTATAATTAGTAGAGTAGAATCAATATTTGTTAAGATTTTTAAGAAAAAAATCTTGATATACGGAAATCACATTATATGTAGAGGAAATCAGATCATATTTTTCATACAATTAGATAAGATTTTTTGTACAAAGATAAGAAGGATTTTAAATCTACACAAATTATAAATATTAAATGTAGTTATTTACGTAAATCAATATCTATATCGACAACCAAACCCTTCAATTTAGGTTTGACATCTGATTTATTTTTGGTAAAATCATGATTTTATCATCCGATCAAATCTGCCTTTTTTTTTGTTTTACGTAAATTTTTTTTTGTACCGATTTTATGGGAAAAAACAATTAAATAAAAATAAATTGATAGAAATAGAATGCATTAATTACCTTTGACTTTTCTTCCTACTAATTCTAGTAAATGGGATAGCCTCTTTATATAAGTATAGATACATTATATTTAAATTATTTTTTAATTAGTTTTTGGCAGATTTGTACCAGTATATATTAAATTATTTTCAATAGATTTATACCAATATATATTAAATTATTTTCGGCAGATTTACAACAGATACTACGTGTATTGTACGGATTTGGATTCCATAAAAAAGGATTTGCATCAATCATATACAATGAAATAAATCCCTCCACAAAAAAGGAGAAAAGTTGAGTCCAAATTATGAAAAAATTAATGCAATGGCGTGAAAGAAGGATTTATTACATATTATCGACTTTTCTTCCTACTAATTCTAGTAAATGGGATGGCCTCTTTATATAAGTATAGATACATTATATTTAAATTATTTTTTAATTAGTTTTTGGCAGATTTGTACCAGTATATATTAAATTATTTTCAATAGATTTATACCAATATATATTAAATTATTTTCGGCAGATTTACAACAGATACTACGTGTATTGTACGGATTTGGATTCCATAAAAAAAGATTTGCATTAATCATATACAATGAAATAAATCCCTCCACAAAAAAGGAGAAAAGTTGAGTCCAAATTATGAAAAAATTAATGCAATGGCGTGAAAGAAGGATTTATTACATATTATCTGTTGCAGTTAATGCTCGCTATTTATTAGGCTGAAATTAATGCAATGGCGTGTAATAAAAACAACTCATATGGAATGATTTTATGATAATTAATTCGGTGTAATTAATGAGGCGCGTGAAAAGGACATAAAACCTGCCGTTTTTGGAAAATAATTACTGCAAACCAGACTTTGACCATAAATTGACCTACTAATTTTGATAAATGTTAATTCTTATTATATATATATAGATTACATAAGGTTTCCCAGTTTACCCTCATAACTACTTAACTCGGCTATTTAACATCTTAGCCCAAAATGAAAATTAATAACTAACCCATTAATAAAAACTAATTCCATTAAAGTGATCGAGTACAGGGATTTCCAAAATAGCTTTTTCTAGACCACGTTATAAAACTGACAATTAATAAGAAACTGCTACCAATTTCAAAAATCAAAAAATTCTTTTTCTTTTCTCTTCTTTTCTTTTCCACGCAATTTTTCTTCTTCTTTTTCCTTCTTTTCCTTTCCACGCATTCTTCTTCTTCTTCTTCTTCATGAAACATGAATGCATAAGAAAAAAGTTAATAACAAAAATAACAAAAAAGATTGATTATATACATAATAACAATAAAAAAATATCTAAAAAGTAACACAAAAAATTTGTTACTCAATTTTTTTATCTCTCTCTCTTTTTTTTTTTTTTTTTTTTTTAATTCGAAAATTGCACTGATAGAACCAAACAAAACAAGACAAGAGCAACAACAAAACTAATAACCCAAGAACAAAGCAACCGCAAAACTACAAAAACAAGCTTAGTAGGACAACAACACAAAAGAGGCAGCTCCAACGAAAAATAATACTAGTATAATTAATAAAAAAAACATCAAACAAGATACAAATATCATAACAACAAAACAACACCAAAACAACAAAACAGAAATAATCAAACAACATGAAAAAAACTTTTGAGATAGTTTAGCAGTAGATCGTAGAAAAATAAGGATAATTGCAAAACTAATTAAAAAAAATTACAGCCTGGTCTTCAAATTTGCATATAGGTTTATTGAACACAAATAAGCATGCGACACTTATGATTCATTTTGACCAAACCTTTCGACAAATCCAGCAAAGAAAAACATCAAAACTGCCAGGTCCCGGAACATACTTCGTACCTGTTCATGAGCCGTCAATTCTTCGAAGTCACAATAATGCTTCATCCACTGTAAAAATTTCAACCCGCCTCTTGAATCAATTAATAATTAGGGTTGCGATGGTATGAATTTGGGAATCTTCAATTGACATAAACGCGACCTCCTTCTCCGAATATGGATGACGAGGCTGCGATTGGATTATGGAAGGCGTTGAACGGTAGACGGTCGAAACGCGGGGCAAGAGCTCCACATGCGCCGGTCGACGGTGGACGGTCTAAAAGGTCGGAGATCTGACCCGAAATTGAATCCTTCCGTGTTCAATAATTTTACAAATTGAAAACAAATGTGAAACGATGGGAGAAAAAAGAGAAGAAGAAAAAGGGCGAAATGAAAGCAAAAAAACCTGTCGAGATAAAAGGATTGAGAATGAACTGCTAGATAAGAAACCACATATATTTACAATAACCAACCCCTAACTAACTGTTATTAGATTAGATTCTAATAATGACACTTAAAATACTATTAAAAGAATAAAAAGGAGTAAAAGTGGAATAATGAGATGGTGCGATTAATTTATTTTAAAAGAATATGCAGCGTCTTTAATTGGCTAAAATAAAGATAAATATTGGGCTTCGTACTCCAAGCCCAATGGTGAACTAACATTAGCCCATACAATACAAAACTAGTCAAAAATCCCAATCTTCTCAGAAACCCTATCTTTCCCAAACCCATCGTCTTCCTCTTTCTTCTCACCGGCGATTGCCGTTCCTTCACCAAAACCCTTCTCTTTTCCTTCCAAAATGCAAGCTTTTCCGGCCAAGTTCTCACCTTTCTCACCCACAACTTCATCACTACCCATTAAGCGGCGACTTAAGGAGGTTGAGGTGGAGGCGCTGAGGCGAGGCAGGGCGGCGCGTGAGATGGATGAAGGAGATCAGGCGTGAGAAGTGAACTGTGAATGAGAGCTGAGGGTCGTGAGCGCCGAGCGGGATGGACAAGTGAACTGTGAACAAAAAGCTAGTCCATATTATATTTAATTACTAATAATATTATTATACTATATATTATTATATACAAATATAAATATTATAACTGAATCGGGTGGGCCGGGGTAGAGTTTGAGACCCGGTCCTGGCCCTTTCAGCTAATGGGCCGGACTTGGCCCGACTCGTTTTGGAATCAAAATAGATTTGGTCTGTCCCAAATGCTTCGAGACGGGCTGAGTCAATTCAGGTCTACCATTTGAATGACATGCAGTCATGCACTTTTATTTATTTTACTTTTTTTAAAGTATGATATTTCAGTTCAAAGATATATTTGTTTAGACTCGAGTTGAACGACAGATCTTAAATAAGGAAAATATGCACGAATTACTTAATACTGATCTCAGGTCGGTGGACCAACCTCATGAACCAACACAGCGGCACCCTTAAAGCGAAAGAAATAATATGGCGCTAGACGGACCGATCTAGGCGCACTATGGGTGGAAATAATAAAATAAACGCCACTTACGCCCAAATGATGACGGATGGAATGTCGCCGCCTTATCCCTGCAAACCTATCGGCCTTAGTTTCCTAGAGCTTAGCGCTGCATTAAATGGAACCCATTCTCATTAAATGCTTGATGTATGACTCAATGAATAATAACTGAGTCACATACTATAAATAGCGTATGAGAAATACTGTCAAAAAGTGGCTGAAATTTTTGTAATAAAAGAGACAAATATCCTTGCATTCAAGGACATATTAAATACTCATCCGAGCTGAAAAATAACATTGATCGGCTTGATTTATAGTTGTACCACTACATTCACTTCTCACTGTTTCTCTCGTTCCCGTCAGATTTCTTCACGAAAATGTCCAAATTTAGCCTATCCAATCGCAATTGAATCCTTGTAAAACACTTTTAACTCGATAGTATGATTGTCTACTTGTTAGGCAGTACTTTATTGATTAGTAATTGATGATTGGTTAGTGAATCCAAACAGAATTCTGTAACATAGAATTCAATTATCCAATCACTTTTTTTGCTCAGAATCTAACAAAAAATATAACTCAACCCAACTCTCATATATTTTTATAAATATAATGAAATAATATCAATCAATCATCTTTACACATCACATCAATTTTAATTCACTATTCACCACTCACATAAGTTTAAATACCCATCACTTTCAACCGCATCTCTCTTAATTTTATGTCAAATAAACTTCAATTATTTTATTTTAAATATTACTTTAATACAACTTCAAAATTCCACTCAAACCTAATTGAACCAACTTTTTCAAAATTAATTTGGTTAACCAAAAAATCCAATTTTATATCAAGCACCTAGCTATTGCTCCCTTTAAATGCCATTTTAAAGTTTATGTGAAGAATCAAAGAACATAAATTTGATTAACACAGATTAATCAATTACTTATAATTCTAATTAGTTTCTTCTTCTCCGCCTCCCCACCCCCCCTCTCAATATCATCTTATTTCTAAGAACTCTGTATATACATTGGATTGAGTTACATCAGAAAGTGTAACAGAATATCTGCACCATGGGAGTATTGTTACTGTGGCTGAGTTTTACTTTTTATCCATTCCTATTTTCTTTGTGATAAATACTCAAGAATCACTATTTTCATTTGTGGTTATGTCAAAGGACATCTTTATTAAAACATACAAGCATAACAGGTAAAAATACTTTGCAAATTAAACTTGATAAAGGAAAGGAAAGAGGATTGTGTTATATATGTAACTCAAGAATTGGATGAAGCAATTTTCCTTTTCTGCACTTATTATGTGTTGTTGTTATGAGCTCCATAGGTTCATTACACAAGATACAAACAACAGTAAATGTGTGTGTGTGTGTGTGTTTTTTCTATCTTTTTCTTTTCCAAAAACCGAATCATTCTTCGACAGGCGGGTCGACCCAACGGCTGTGATCTTTGATTTGCTGAATCAAAGCATCGGTCGCATATTCCATGGCAATGCCTCTTTGCACCATCGTCTGACACTCCACAAGATTCATCGTACGAGCCCATTACATGAGACATCAACAGCATTATTCTAGTTAGTACTAGAAGTAGTTTTATCACTCAAACGCAAATTTTTATCAATCGAATGCAATTTTTCACGCGTGTTCAATAAAAATGTTTCGTGCTTCTCGTTTTTCCTTCTAAAATGTCAATGCATATGTGGTTTGAATTGTAAACGATGCCCAACACACACACACAGGTCAATTTTGCCAGGAGCACCAACAACATAACCGAAATTAGCATCGACCATTTCTCCCAGTCCATTCACAATGCAACCCATAATAGCAATCTGCACTAAATATAAAAAAGGATACGCCATATCTCAAGACTAATTTTTTCAAGGCGAACGAACCAATCATTCGAGACTGGTAAAAAAAAAAAATACCGAAACACCAGGCAAATGAGAAGTCTTTTTTCTAATTTCAGCACTAATCTCTTGATGATCGAACAAAGATCTTCCACACGAAGGGCACGACACGTATTCCTGGCAATATATCACTTCGTTCCACACATAATGTCAAGAAACCAGAATGGTCGTAGTAGTAATAATTTGTACGTAATTTCGGAAAGCCTTAGTACTCTTACCGTCTTTGTATTTCTCATTCTGCAGCCTTGCAGCAAATTGAAAGACGTGTTTCGGAGGATTTCAAAGTCTTGATCTGGGGAATCCAATAGGATACCATCTCCAAGTCCATCGACCAAAAGGGCTCCTGCATTTGTCCTGGTATCAATGACTAAATCGTCCCACTGTCAAGCCTTTACAGTAATTAATGGTGAAAGTGGAGCTACCTCCACCGCCTTCGCCCACTGTCGGAAAAGCAGCGATCTCTTAAGTCTCCAACTCAATTCTCAGGTCGTCCCTCAAGGTGCGGTCCCTCAAGCTGCGAATTGTTTAGGATTTGATTAAGCCATTGTTCTTGGAGAAGAAGAAGAAGGTCAGAGAGAAGGAAAACTCTCTCCCGAGGAACCCCTCGGCGCCTTCTTCTTGGAGCAACAAGAAAATAAATGCGTATCCAAGAACAATAGCACAAATGGGGAAATCAAAGAACAAGCTACGTTACCGGAAATTGACAGAGGAGGAATGCTTCGGTCAAAACAAAGATCTGGAAGATGGCTTCCTTCAAGACTCGGAGGAAGAGCTAGCTGAAACGCAAGCTTCATCCTCATCCTCCAAACCCGTCAAAAATNAAAAAAAAAATACCTTCTTGCAGCATGAACTCTGCTAATATTCTCTTCTGTATACGGCACGTTGTGAAGAATCATAACCGCATCACTGCTTTTCAGAATATTCAGCTCCTCGTGAGGCTCGTCACCACGTACCGAGACTACCAGACGAGTACCTGAAAAAGAAAAAAAAAAACATAAATCGACTTATAATTACGATACTCGAACGAGATCTTAAATATGCAATGCATGTTTCGTATAAACCTTCTGGAAGAAGCTTGTGGGCACCAGTAGACAGCTCATTAAGAGTCACTAAAGCGAGTGCATTGGGCAAAGGCTTAGTGAGCTGCTCGGATAAAGGAGTGATAATTCCCATGCTGATGTCTATCAACCGTTTGAGGGCTAATCTCTGGTAATTAATACCGTAAGAAATTATTAAAAAATTTGTTTTTGACTGTAAGAAAGAACGAATAAATATAATTATGAAGTGATGAAAAGTGGTTTATTTACAGCATCTTTATCATTTTCTGGTGGAAGCTCCCTCAATAAGATCGAGTCCACGGTAGCTAGATCCTGCGTAAAGTATTGAATTTTCTCGATTTAAAATCTAAAAATAGAGAGAAAAAAAAAAATCGAATTCGTGTGAGGGAGGATAAACGGGTATACCTTAAATGGCATTCCAACTACAAGTTTTGCTGCTAGAGACTTGTATAGAAATTCAGGGGTCTGCAGGGGAGAAAAAAAGTACAAATTTTCAAAATTAAAATCATTGGAAGCAAGAAAATAAAAGCAACAAATTTCGAAAGTATGAAAAAACTCATATCTTTTACCTTCAATTGATCCAGAGAAACCGACATCAATACCGAGCCATCACGATGAAGTACACCTCGATAATCAACTTCCTCGCCCTTGTATTAGAAACAAGTCGAAATTATTATTTATTTACCGAGGCCCAAATCATTCAAAATTAGTCAAACTAAAATCAAAGTATCAAAAAAAAAAAAAAATCATATCTTTTTTTACCTCCTTTTGAAGTGGCAATTGACCACTCCTACGCTGGAAATCAAAGTAGCGCCTGTTCTTCTCTTCAAATGGTGCCTAGAAAATATCGATTAACAAACAAATTATTGATTTTCTTGTGAATTCAAGAATGGAATTTTAAGCAAAATAATAGCAATTTTTTATGACAGCATATTCTTCTTACCACTCCCTTCTGAAGCTCGGCTGCTCTCATCCCAAGGTTAGCCAATCTTCTACACGGATCAATCTCTTCTTCCGGAGCCTCAGTTAGGGACACTCGTATAGTATCACCCAAACCATCCTGCATTAATTACAATAAAACAGCAAAATTATTCTCAATATAATTTTTTTATATGCATCTAAAATAAAGAGGGGTGACTTTGATTTCTCTATTTAGCTTCAAACTTTAGTTAAATGTTAGCTTCTTCTAATACAATAAACCACTTGTTTACGATGCAGAAGTTTTTGCAAATACTCTCCAAAACTAATACATTAAGGCTATGTTTGGTAAACTTAGCTGATAAGCTAGCTTATAGCTTTTAATTGAATTTCGAGCTTATAGCTGATAACTTATGACTTATGGCTGAAAAGCTACCTTATATGATAAAACTGTTTGATAAAATTAGCTGAAATAAAATTTTAATGGGCTTATTTGAAAAGCTACCCAAGGAAAGGAAGCTTGTGAGATAAGCTCGCGATTTTTAAAAAAAGCTCGTCTTGCCAAACCAAGCTTATTTCAATATATGAAGTTTATTATAAGCTAATCAAATCAGCAAGTTGTGTTTGGTAGACAAATAAGCTAGCTTATAGATTGTTTGGTTAACTTATAAGCTTCCTATATTTAAATAAGCTTCGTTTGGTATGATGAGCTTATTTAAAAAGCTCAAGCTTATCTCATAAGCTTCTTTGGGTAACTTTTCAGATAAGCCCGTTGGAATTTTTATTTCAGCTAGCTTACCAACTAATTTTATCAAACACTTTTATCATATAAGCTAGATTTTCAGCTATAAGTCATAAGCTATAAGTTCGAAAATTACTAATAAGCTATAAGCTAGCTTATCAGCTTAGTTTTACCAAACATAGCCTAAAGCTAGCTTATATGCTTACCAAATACAGCTTAATATTTTCTAAAAGTATATATGACAATATATCTTCTTGTATATCACACACACTTAAACACATACCATGAGAAGAGTCCCAATACCAATAGCAGATTTCATTCGCCCGTCTTCACCTTCACCGGCTTCGGTAACTCCCAAGTGTAACGGGTAATCCCATCCCAATACATTCATTTCAGCTACCAAAAGGCGGTATGCTTGGACCATAATCACAGGATTGCTCGCTTTCATTGAGAACACGAAATTATGGAAATCGAGTTTGCGACAAATCCGAGCATACTCAAATGCAGATTCAACCTATTAAATGGTTATATGAAAAAAAAGTATATTACAAATATGATAATTTAAAATCCAAAAAATATAAAGACTGAGGAGCTCCGCTTCAAAGTGTTCGAGTGTAACTAATTACCATTCCTCTTGGTGAATCACCATAATAGCTCATAATTCGATCCGAAAGGCTACCGTGATTTGTCCCTATTCGCATTGCTCGGCCGTACTTTTTGCATTTTTCGACCAATGGAGTGAAAACCTGCATTAAGTACAAACATTTCGACATTTTTTTTTTTAAAGTACAATCCTTTAGCTTTACGTAAAATAATATTATATGCAAAAGTTTCACCGTTTAAAATCTCCGGGCTCATTTAAGAAACCAAATTAAGTGATATTTCAAGGAAAAAACTAATACACTTTGCCGAAGTATGAACTATGAATGTATCTAGCAAACAGTGCACACCTGTTCAATGTGCTCGAGTTCTTTTTGATAATCTTCTTCTGTGTACTCAAGCGTTTCGAATTGCGCTCTCCTGTCAGCTGGAAAAAATTAATGTTGTCAGATTAAATCGTGATTAACAAGATTAATTGCCGTGATTAACAAGGTACCGAAATTCCCAGGGTTGACACGAATTTTGTCGAAGCATTCAGAAATTCGTAATGCAATAGGTGGGGCGAAATGAATGTCCGCAACCAGAGGGATGTTATAGCTGCATTATAGATGAAAAAAAAATATATATATCAAAATATATGTAGGGCAGTAAGTTACAAATCATAATTTTTTCAAGTGATTTCATAGTTAATAACTTAATACAAACACATACTTCTTCTGAACAAGAGAATTTTTTATTTCGAAACACGCATCTGCTTCTTTCCTTCCTTGTACAGTTATCCTGACAATATCCGCTCCTTGATCTGCTATCCTCATCACCTGTGAAAAATGTAACAATTCACCTAAAAAAAAGATGTAGAAAAAAAAATAAAAAAATAAAAAAACTCAAGCAAAATCTTATTATATCATTGCATGGTTAAGACCCATTTTGAGTTTGCCTCAACAAACATTTTCCTGAAATCAACACTTTGTGTCACCAAATCATTACTCCTAAAACGAACTCCAATTATAAAACATTAAACTCTCCAAGTGAATGAGATAAGTTTTAATTTTTTAGTTAGTATTAGAACCTGATCGACTGTTCCGGCTACATCCTTAGTATCTGTTGTTGTCATCGTCTGAATTCTGATTGGATGCTCACTACCAAGAGCCACATTACCAACCATTACTGTGCGTGTTTTTCTCCTCGCCGTTTTGTGTATCGACTCACAGTATTTCTGTCTAGGAACTACGTTCAGAAAGGTTGTTATATTAGCAAATATTTCATTTTTAAGTCTATGTAGATAATCTTNNNATACAAAAAAAAAAAAAAAAAAAAGAAACGCTTTCAAGAATCATGACAGCATTAAACCCACCAGGACTCAGCTCGAAGCAAGCAAAATATTACATAAATAAACGAAACCGTGCAAATGTGATACTGGTATAGTGTAAAAAGTTGGGCCATAGTTTTTCGCGGATATTCAAAAAAAGCCAACCACAAAAGTTTACTTTTTTCTAAATTATTTCTTCATAAATTAGCTGATTAAAAGTTAATTTATCAGTATAAACAAGATTGAGATCATAAAATAGCATACATAATTAGTAAGAAAAACAAAAAAAAAAAAAATTGCTAATAATAATAGTAATATTAAATATTTCTTTATTTTACAAAAAAGTATAAATATTTGTTGAATAAAAATATTTTACACAAGAGAGGGATAAAATGAATATTTTTCTCCAATAACCAATAGTGAAAGAATAGCATTTCCCTTTCAAGGTAAGGCTAATCAGCATCGGTTTTATAACCAAGCTACATAAAAAAAAGCTGATCATTAAATTTTTAACACCAAACAAGGAACATATTGAATAACAATCCATATCAAAATCATCCAGTTCATGTGGCTGTACAAAAATTTAAGGAAAATGTGCACAATATAGCAAATAATACAAAAAAAAATTACCTAACAGTGGACTTCCATCTGATGCAGGCTCGAGCTCAACAGTTTCTGAACCGGGATTTGCCGAGTTCCTGATCAAAGCAACCTTAGTCCGTCGAAATTTAACCCTTTGCAGGTCAGAAAATCTAATAAAATCGGAATTTTTCACGAAGCCGATGCCCTTTTGATCCCTGCTTTTAAGAACTGTAAATGAAGCCGGGACAGCTCCAGTTGCCATTTTCAACTTCACCAATTATCAAACCTCTCTCACACTGCTACAGCACAAACCTGAAAAGATTGAAAAAAAAAATAAAAAAAATCAAGAAACTAATGGTTCAACCAAGTTAACAAAACTCTCGAATAACTATCAGGTTATCTAGGAAGAGTTCATTTAACATAACATAGTGATTTTGTTTCAACATATCAACAGAAGAAAATCAGTTCNCTCAAATTGGCCCCAATCATTCCCAAATAGGTAAGGACAATAAAAGTCAACCACAAAAAATCGATTAACTAGAGATATACTCAATAGAAATAGAGTGAGCTGAAAAATAAAAACAGGAGGAAAAAATAAAATGAGAGAGAAACTATAATCAAGATTATTTCATGAATCAATACAAAGTCAACATCTTTCACACATAAGCACAAAGACCCATTCAGGAATTAATATAAAGACAGCATCTTTCTGCTCGAAAGCACAAAGATTCATCGAGGAATCAATATAAAGATAACATATTTGACTCATAAGCACAAAGATTCATTCAGGAATCAACACAAAGAAAGTTACTATTTTTTTATGTCTACACAAAAGCACTTGAACTGGGTACAGCCCTAAGAAAAGGAACTTGGGAACTCACTCAAAGCTCTAAAACCGCACCTAAAATCAAATGATGGGTCCAACAGATATACCAAAATCAAACTATTGACAGAATTTCAAGCAGAAAAATTGAGAGAGAAAGAGAGAGGGAGAGGGAGAGAGAGAGAGAGAGGGAGAGAGGGATGAAATTCAGGAAAAAGGGGAATAAAATGAAGAATTTATACTAACCAAGTAATCAGATGGGCCAAAGGTGCTCTCAAATTATAAGCTGATAAAAAACTCTCTGCATTTCTTCTGTTCTGTAGCGTGCTCCTTGAAGGCCATACAATTGTTTTCAAGAATTTCCCAACAGTTGGACTGTTTAGTAGTTTTTGCCCCTTCACTTTTCTTTTATTCTATTTTGACCCGCATTGTTTCTTGTTGATTATTGATTGTGTATTTGGCAAATCTAGGTGAAAAACTAAGTTAATATATAGCTCATATGCTAATTTTGAGCTTATAACTGAATTAATGACTGAATAATAATTTAAATAATAAAAATATTTGAAACAACACACTAAGTAGGTGAGGTAAAAATAAAATTTTAATAAACTGTTTTTGAAAAGCTAACTAAAGGAGGTTATAAAATAAGCTCGTTTTTTGTTTAAAAACCTTATCCTACCAAACTAATTTTATTTGAATAAAAGAAGTTTATAGGTTAACTACAATAGTTAACTTATAATGCTTACAATACACTGTGCTCGGTGTAATTAATTTTTAGTTTCATAATTATTTAAATACTAATATTCAAGTATGTGCACATATTACATATACATACTTACATATGCAAATATAACTTTATATGTTATATGTGTTTGTACTAATGTTTAAAATCATGAGTTAGACAATGTGCATATCACATTTTACAAATTTTATCACTTAATAAAAATAAACAATATAAATATACACTATACAATTTAGATATTAATTATAAGTTATAAAATGAATATATCACATTTTTTATAAATTGTATCATTAATATAAATAAATATATAACTTTTACAGTGGAAACCAGGTATTTTTTATTACAAGAATCTGAAGTCAAAAGATCTGAATATTTGGTCAAAAATAAAGATTGTTATTATACACAAACACGTTGGCCTCGCGCGCAGGACATATAATCTACATTAAATAAGGTCAGTTCTTTCAATTGAAGGGCCCAATTGATGAAAAACTATTTATAAATCGAGGCGCCATGTTCTAATTTAGAAAATAATGATATTATAAAATTAATGGTTGCCAATCTCAATTATCTTTTGTTTATAATATATATTCAATTATTTAATTCAAACTTAACAATTATGTTAGCTCTCAATTAATGTTTAGTTGACCTTGCTCTTCTCAATCATATTTATTGGATCAAGTTTGTGAATTTCCGAAATTCCTAGTATTTACTACAAATTGATTTTATTTTATTCCTACATTATAGAGTTATTAAACAAAACGAGCCAGCTCGGTTTGGCTCGACTTTCTAAGACTCGAAAATATAAATTTTTTAAATAATGATCTATAATTGAACTCCGTAAGGCTCAAGTCCAAGCTCTATTACTGAGTCGGTAATACAACGATCTCTTTTACGTTATAATTGAAATTATAATTGTGACCACAAATCAATTTGTAATTTCAAAAAAAAAATGCATGTCCCAAAAAATTGCTTATCTAATAGTACACATTGTTGTAGCAGAAAAGAGAAAGCAGAGTCAGCCAACTTTCAATTTTTATTTTATTCTCCTCGTGAAGCATGTGCCAAACCAATCAACCCTTTCCAATCATGTGTACATGGACTAAAAAACAATTAATAAGCACATATAGATATAGATTTATTTATTTATTAATAAGGCTATGTAAGTAGAGCTATTCAGCTTCGAGTTCGTCTCAATTTATTTATCAAATCCAAGCTCATTTAGTTAACGAACAAGCTCATATCGGTTTATTAAGGCTAAAAAAATAGATTCTTAGTTGTAATTTCATGAATTATTAGATAAGTTCGACGAGCTCAGACTTCACACACCTCCATTTAACTTGACTGTCCTCTTAAAAGCAAGTTCTCATGGAAAAAAAAAAAAAGACCAAAGTGTAAAATATTTTCCGAATTCAACAAGGCGTCGAGCTGTAAGATACACTCTCACAGGTCGAATGAGAAAATCCGAAATCTCGTCAAGAAACATTTCTATCTTCAACAAGGCCATATCTCTCGAGAGTTGCAACAGTCTCCTCTTCGGCACTGACCAAACACAAATTACATTACTCGATGAACATATTGCATGAAAACTTCATCAAAATTCATATAAAACGTGTAATTTTTACCGAGCATAACCATTAGAGAATAATTAATGTGTAACCGAGTATATGCAAGAATACATCGTTCGTGTAAATCAATTTGTTTCATACAGAAATTATTTTCACCCTTGTTAATTTACAAACTATACAGAAAAAATATGAACACTAAGCATCAGTAGAAAATGACAACAGTAAAAATATATATTGGCTGCATCTTTTACCGAAAGCATATGTATAGAGAACATTGAGCATGAACAGAAGTGCATTGTAAACGTCCCTCCTTCAGTAGTAAAAAACCAAAATGACTTTTTTTTTTCAAGATTTATCACAGAAAAATATTAACCGAAGTTATCATGCCGACTTTCATTGGTTTTTATTGCAGTCCGATACTTTCTGTTTTGTTTATTTGAAATTAGCGACATGCGTTTTTGGTCACATAAACACACACACACACGTACATTTGAGTGTGTGAGTATGCATGGATTAACTGAAAGCACAATCTTTCTCCTAAATTCTCCATAGTATTTCAACTTACACAGAAGGAAAATTAATGTCAGAATACAAGATAAATTATTTATCTTAGAGGTGAGGAAAAGATAGAATCATGACCATGAGCATTCTAAAGAGATCGACTTCAGACTTGATCAGAAATAGAGATCCTCTACCAAAATAAATAAATAAATAAATAAAAATTTAAAAGCCCTCATAAAAGAAGCACAAGACCTCAGCAATAATCCATCACACTTCCAATTTCAAGTTATAATTTTTTTACGGGTCCACGAACGAGATAAAAAGATTTTTTTACCTTCCGGGCCTTAGAATTTTATACTGTCCTAGCTTAGTAAGATCCACAACCGTTGATCCTGCACGGCTCGATGGAATTACACCACCATTGTAGATGCAAGCACAGTGACCCCACAAAATCTCGAAATCTTTAACATCCAAACTACTCGGCTGGCCACTAAGGTTTGCACTCGTGAGGGCAAGAGCACTCTCCGAACCTCGGCAAATTAATCTAATGAAATTAGAATCGGGCACCCGTACACCTATGCTATCTAGTCCAGGATTTAGAGACTTCTCAAGGATACTTGACTCTCCTGAAACGACGGAAATAAAGAATTTTTAAATATGTAATTCAGGTAAGCTTGAACTAAAGATAAGAGTAAATCACTAAGGGTGTGATTGGATATAAATTCAATTAAAAAAAAAAATCAATCAAAACTCAAATTTAACTCAATCGCACAATCATCAATATTATCAATATAATTAAATAATATCAATCAATCATTCTTGCACATCACATCAACTTTAATTCACTTCTCATCCACTCACATAATTTTAATTAACCATCACTTCACATCATCTCTCTCCTACTTTTACCTCAAATTAATTTTAATTATCTTATTTTAAATATTATTTTAATTTAATATTAAATTCACACTAACAACTAACCATACCACATTTTTCAAAATTAACTATGAGTAACAAAATAGAAAACCAATCAAATTCATATCCAATTACACCCTAAGAGAAGTACAACAGAGGATTGAACCAAAGTGGATTAGTGAAAAAGCATTCTAGTTTAGAGTCATATGACAACCCAAAACAAACGAGTTTAGATTTTTGACAAAAACCTCGTTTTAGAACAACTGTAACAGGTCCCGGGAGAAGGGATTCGAGCAAGCCAGGAGGCAAATGGTCCGTTGTGGCAAAACGTGGTATATCTTGAACATCTCCTACACTAATTGCCAGAGGACTAGTATGTTTACGCCCTTTGATATCATATATCCGATGAACAGCTTCCATCGAGCTAGAACACAACCAGGAAAATCAAAGACGAACCTTTAGCCACTACATTATATAAATGTAACGCGTATAAATTTCATATAAACAGTCCATTGACTCCATTCCTACAAGTTTCTGTTTGTCTTTCTTAATTCATCATTGTATGCTACAGCAAATACAAATCACGGTCATGCTTAAACAGGGAAGCAATCTAGTATATGTCCCACGCTCTTGAACTTTCACACGCATCAACAAAGAACAAAAATACGAAAAATAAATGGTTTGAGCAAATTGTACAGTGGGTTACAGATATGAACTCAAAGAATTTTGTGATTTCTTATAACTACAAAGACACTGGAATGGAAAGACAATTTTGTAGAACTTTATGCAAAAAAGACCTAAAACTCCACAAAAAACACTCATCATCCCGCATAATTAGTGGCATTAAAGATACAAACTTGGAAAAAAGGGAAAGAAAAAATAATACCAAGCATCACAAGCAAAGCCATAGAGGGTATCGGTGGGCACCGCAATCACTTTCCCAGCCCTCACAGCCTCAATAGCTTCCGCCACATAATCCTCTGTGGCCGGCCGCAAAAAACCCATTTCAGCATCGCCCCTCAAATCCCCACCACATTTCTCTGAGCTCCGAGTCATGCTCCTGGCGCGAAACCCAGCAATATCTCCTCTGCTACGCCACGCGTGCACAGAACGCAGCCTTTGCACCCCTATGAACAAAACAAGAACAACAAGCATTTCATCAAACATGTGGTGTGCTTCCTCTAGACGCTTACAGCAATAACCCTTGACAAAAGAAGTAAAGAATAAATAAAATATGACATAGTAAGCCCAACAAAAGTAAGCTAAAAATGCAGTCTTTTGCACATATATATTAATATATATCCAAAGTGTACCAAAGGAGTTCTGAAAGAATGGGGCGAGTAAAAGTGGCAGAGTTTGCGGCCGGGAAAATGTCGCCGGGATGCTAATTCTCATCAGAGTTGCGCCGTTTTGCGGCGGCTTTTGATCTGATGCTGCGAGTGGATGTAAGCCCTATTTTCTTGGAGCTTGAAAGAGTTAGAGCAGCTGATCGGTGTTTCAGATGCGGGTCGAACCGGTTGACTTTTATTTTATCTATTCAAAATTCTAATACCGTTTTAACAAAATAAATAATTACTAATTAGGCCATAAAAGGGCATAATTATATTCTAATACCTTTATACAATACCGTTCATATATATTTACACTATCACAATTTAATTTTAAAAGTATATATATTTGTTAGAAAAAAAATATGATTATTATGTCTGCCTAACAAGTAACAATAAACCTACCTTAGTAATTTATTTAATATTTTTTTATTAGTATAAATAGGATTTTAGCTTTTCATATTATTTTATTATTCTTTTAAGATTGATGTGTGTATTTTATTTTCGCACAGTAGTACTATCTCGTTTTCTTACCTATCAAAGCTTTTACATATTCTTTTTCTAATTTAAAAATTCAGTATATTGGTGGAGAAGTTAGCTGAAGTGTTGTATCGATCATGAACTTGAATGCTTGACTCGAAATAAAGATATAGAAAAATTGGATGTTCTTTTTATTGAGAACTATATCAAAGGGCATGGATGTATTATTTATGCACCCCAAAATGGCTATTAAAAATATATTAATAAAAAAGTGACTAGAAAATATATGTTTGACAAAATAAAAATGAATATTATGACTCCATCACACTTTGTAAGTCATGCTAATTGCTAACCCTACAACTAGCTAGAAATACTTAACAATTATACAATATTTTTGTTAATATATATATATATATTTATATGCATAGTTTCTCATATTATATTATTATATTTTAATAAACTATAAAAAATGTAATATTTATAATTTAAATATTTATATAATATAATGAGTCACCTCATTTAACCATGAGTTGGTTTCACACCAGAATATGT